TTTGAGACAGGGTCTCCCTGTAGCCCCAGCTGACCTAGAACTCACTATGTAGACCAGGCTGGCCTTGAACTCACAGAGATCTGCCTGCCTCTGCCTCCCGAGTGCTGGGATTAAAGGCGTGCGCCACCACAACTGGCTAAATTATTTTTTATGTGTATAAGTGTTACACTTGTATGCATGTAAGTGCCATACAGTACCCACAGAGGTTGGAAGAGGGTGTTAGATCCTCTGGAACTGGCATTATGGATAGTTAGCTGTTAGCTGCCATGTGGGCACTGGGATTTGAACCCAGGTCTTCAGCAAGAACAGCCAATGCTCTTAACCACTGAGTCATCTCTCTAGCACCCCTCTGCTACTTTTAACCTCTGGGGCTCAGATTTACCACCCTGTAATATAAATACAGTGGCATCAACCTCACCTATCTGTCTTCTTGAGAAGCAAATGAAAAGCATGTTAAATTCCAAGGCCTTCTAAAACCATCCGCAATATGCAGAGGGAGACCAACATCTTCTGACTCTTGTACTGTGGGGAGTCACCAGTCATGCCTATGTAAATTCTCACAGTGAACCTACCTGATGTCAGGAAAGATTTCAACCAGATCTATCCAGTGAGCTCCAAGATCCAAGTGAAGAAAGCCACCACACCACTAAACACGCAGCCTCATTCTGGGAAAGTGGAGATTGGTGGCACAGCAGGGGGCAGGTGTGTCCTTGTACCACCAGTACCTGAAGGTTGGGAGTCAGGTCGTTGTCCCTCATTCTGGCTATGTTACCAAGTCTGGAACCTTGGGCAAGCGACTTCAAATCTCATTTTGCTTATTGGAAAAATGAGCAACACACCTGCCTCCCGCAGCTGATGAGGCAGTATAGTGAGACCCAAACACTAGTCTGTGCACAGTGACTTCAGAGCCCCATGGAGGCATGTGGCCACAGAGCTCGGCGCTCCATGCCAAGGTGGGATCCCAGAGTTGCCACATAGGGAAGTCCCCCTGGAGGATTCTGATGTACATACAGCCAGGTCCAGAAGCCATTCTTTATGAAATTATGCAAAGCCTTCACACGAGTGCCACGGCATGTACACCCTTGCACATGTCACATATACATGTAATTACTCTCACATCAGATAGCAACTAATGCTCTCCAACCCTGAGCTCAGGTTCCTCATCTGTGAAAATACTCACTGTGAAAAGTAAGAAAGTCTGTGGCCACAGCTCAGTGGTAAAGTGCTTACCTAGCATGTGGGCTACCCCAGGTTCAAACACCAGTACCTGAAAGGCAAAACCCAAAATAAAACGGAAAACAGCACGGTGTGGTAGCGAACACCTTTAATCCCAGCACTTGGAAAACAGGGAGTTCCAGGCCCGCCAGGGTAAGAACAACAAGAAACAAAGCCCACCTAAATAAATAAATAAAGAGAAAATGAAGGAAAGGAAGAGGGGAGAAAGGAAGCTACTTTGAATTCTATGAAAGAGTAGGTGAGTAATTTCTGTCAACTGTCAGGAACAAAGCCAGGCACTAGTTAAAATGGTCAGGACGGATTTTAATGAGGAACAGCCACTGCAATAGGAAAAAACCCAGCATGAACTAATTGGGCTTTTTTCTGCTGGGAATCGAATACAGGACTTTATTCATACTAGGCAAGGCTCTACTGAGCTACACCCCCAGCCATGACCTCAACTTTGATTTGTACAAGGGTGAATAGGTATTTTACTTCAGGGTGTGTGCAGTGCTGGGGGCTTGAATCCAGGGCTTTACACAGGCCACTCAAGTGCCCTTCCATTGAGCCACACACCCAGCCTGTGAATGGATATTTCAAAGATAGGTTGAGGGGCTAGGAGGGGCTAAAATGGGCTGAGTTAAGGAAGCGAGAATTGCAAAGGTTAGTCAGTGTAGGTGTCTTGAGGCTAGCTATCTGCAAGTGATTACCAAAGTTACGATTCTGTCGGGCATGGTGGCCTTTAATCCCAGCACTTGGGAGGCAGAGGCAGGTGGATCTCTGTGAGATCTAGGCCAGCCTGGTCCACATAATGAGTTCCAGGACAGCTGGAGCTACAAGGAGACCTGCCTCAAAAAGACAAAAAAAATTAAAAAAAAGAAAGTTACTATTCTACCTTTCCTGAGTGACTAGATGATGGGTTTTATCTATCCTCAGGGCTGGCTGCTGCAAACACCGAAAATTATTTTGGCCCCCTGATTTTTCTCAGACTAGAGAAAAATCTCTCAGAGATATGGCCTTGAGCCATTAGAACTATTAGTGGTCATTCAAGTCTTTATAGAGGCAAAGCAGGATAGACAGGAAAAGAGCCCTGTTGCCCTCACTTGTCTGGATCTGGCTCATGACTCTTGCTGACTGAGTTGAGTTCCAATACAGCTGACTGGAGATTGACTCCATCCACAGAAACTATATTCCTTCCTACATATAATGCAACAGGATTAGTAAGAGGACTAGTAAGTCATGCTGAGGATCGAGGTATGTCTCACCCGTGTGTATATATGTGTGTGTTTACATATGCACAGGTGCACAAGTATTCATGTATGTGGGCTGGCCTCAAACTTACAGAGAGTTGCCTACCTCTGTCTCCTGAATGCTGGGATTAAAAGCATGTGCCACCCATGCTTTTAATCCCAGCACTTGGGAGGCAGAGGCAGGCAGATCTCTGTGAGGTCGAGTCCAGCCTGGTCTACATAGCAAATTCCAGGTCAGCTGGGGAGACCCTGTCTCAAAAAAGACAAGAAAAAAAATTAACTTTTATTTTGGGGCTGGATAGATGGCTCAGTGGTTTAGAGCGCTAGCTATTCTTACAGAGGACCTGGGTTCAGTACCTAGCACCCACATGGCAGCTAACAACCATTTGTAACTCCAGTTCCAGGTGACCCAAGGCCCTCTTCTGACCTCCATGGGCACTGCACAACATAGGTGCACTTACATACATGCAGGCAATACACTCATAAACACATAAAATAAAAATAATAAAATTTTTTAAAAATTTATTTTTATCTGATGTGCTTCAGTGTTTTGCCTGTATAATGAATGTAAATGCACCTGTGTTGCCCAAAGCTGGCCAGGGCAGAAAAGGACATTGGATTCCCTGGAACTGGAATTATAGACAGTTGTTAGCCTACATGTAGGTCTGGGAACCTAACCCAGGTCCTCTGCAAGAGCAGCTAGTGCTCTTAACTGCTGAGCCATCTCTCTAGCCCCTGATCCATATATTTTAAAAACTCTTTCCAAATATGCTTTGTGTTCAAGCCTGCATGTATAAGTCCAAGTGCCTCTACCTGCTCGACCATCTCACCAGTCCCCTGGTCCATGTTTTTGTCTTAACCACATTTCTTTCTCATAAATCACATTAGAATTTCATTTATAAAAGCCCTTCTTTCACTGATCTGCTAAATCCTCTTTTGTAATATTAAGAAAATCTTCTTTCCTTTGGGCCTGGAGAGATGGTTCAGGGGCTAAGAGCACTGGCTGCTCTTGCAGAGGACCTGGGTTTGGTTCCCAGCACCCATATGGTGGCTAGCTGCAATTCCAGGACATCCAGATTTTTTCTTCTGGCCCTAGAGGGCACTGTACACACTGCAGGAGTGTACTTACACACATTCAGGCAAAACACTCATACACATAAAACAAAAACTAAAAGCCGGGTGTGGTGACACACGCCTGTAGTCCCAACACTTGGGAGGCAGAGGCAGGCGGATCGCTGTGAGTTCAAGGTCAGCCTGGTCTACATAGTGAGTTCCAGGACAGCTGGGGCTACAGGGAGACCCTGCTTCAAAAAGACAAAAAAACCTAAAATATTAAAAAAGAAAACATTCTTTTGATAACGAAAGAGACCGACACATTCTTTTTCTCTCTTCCTTCAACTTCAGTTTTAGATTACCTCCTATAAACAACGGAACTCCAAAAGGCCCAAATTACTTGTCTAATTGCTCTGAATCATTTACAGCCTCACTTGTCTCTAAGTGCATCTGTCCGTTTCTTGATCAGTAACTCACTGACTTTGCTTCATTCTGACTCTTCTAAGACTTCTTTTTCTGTAGTATTAAGTCAAGGGGTCCAGGGGCATCTGAGTGGAGGCTCTGGTCTTTTATTTTTTCTTAATTTATTTATTATTTTTATTTTGTAAGTGTACTGCCTACATGTAGGTGAGTGCACCCATGTCATGCAATGCCTGCGGAGGTCAGAAAAGGCTGTCGGATCCCTGGGACTGGAGTTACAGACAGTTGTTAGCTGCCATGTGGGTGCTTGGATTCAAACCCGGGTCTTCTACAAGAACAACCAGTGTTCTTAACCACTGAGCCATCTTTCCAGCTCTGGTCTTTTAGGGGGACTCCGGTTGCCAACAATGTTGAGGTGGGTTTCTGCTGTTGGTGACAAAGGTTGAGAAATAGGCTCAGAGGAACAAGACCTAGATAGACTTTGTCTATTACACTACATAAAATTAAATAACTTAGAAGGAGCTAAATCTATGTCTTGACAAATCGGCTGACCATGAATATTAAGAAAACCAAGTTTTAGATTCACTTGATTTTTTTATTTTTTATGTGTATGAGTGTATTGCTTGCATGTAGGTAAGTGCACCAGTGTCGTGCAATGCCCGTAGAGGTCAGAAGAGTCTGTCGGATCCCCTTGGGATTCAAACCTGGGTCTTCTGCAAGAACAACCAGTGTTCTTAACTGCTGAGCCATCTCTCCAGCCCCTCACTTGAGTTTTTAAAAGTTTTTAAAAATATTTTATTATTTTTATTTTATGTGTGAGTGTATTGCTTGTATGTATGTGAGTGCACCCATGTTGTACAATGCTGCCGAGGTCAGAAGAGGGCTTCGGATTCCCTTGGAACTGGAGTTAGGGACAGTTTGTAGCCGCCATGTGGGTGCTGGGAATCAAACCCAGGTCCTCTGCAAGAAGAGTGAGTGCTCTTAACTGTTGAGCCATCTCTCCAGCCCTCACTTGATATTTTTTATAAACTGCAAAAATGCTATAATTGGCTTGGGTGTGGTGACACAATGCATTTAATCCCAGCTCTTGAGAGGCAGAGGCAGATGGATCTCTGTGAATTTGAGGCTAGCCTGGTCTACGTAGTGTTTCAGGCCAGCCCGGGCTACACAGTGAGCCCAGCTGAAACAAACATACTTATAATTTAAACAGTCTCTAAAAATACATGTTTGAGTGGTTGCAGCAGAGAACAGGTTTCCATTAGTTTATGTTGACCATAGGAACTCAACCAAAAGGAAATTACACAACTACTGTTGCTGTGCCAAGACATTTTTTAAAGATTTCCATGTGGAAATTTGGTTATGAATTTTGCACAATTTAAGCATTGCCAAAAAAGCAAAAAACTTTCTACAATAATCACCATCATTTGGATCTGGATTAAGGAAAACATCTTCAGCATCTCAAATTTGAGACCATCTGACTCCAGGGACAGGTGAGATGTGTGGGAACATACCTGTCCTAAGGGCAAGTCTGGGACAGCATTCTGGCACCTTCTGTAGGGCTGGGGCAAAGGGGCACTTTTTAAGGGGACAATAGCAAAAGGACCCTATCAGTTTGGAATTCGCAGGTCTTTTTCCCTGTGGCTCTGGAATGGGTCGTTTTCTTATACATTATTTACATGTGTGTCTTTTTGAGACAGGGTCTCCCTTTAGCCCCAGGTGGGCTGGAACTCACTATGTAGACCAGGCTAGCCTCGAACTCACAGAGATCTGCCTACATCTGCCTCCCAAGTGCTGGGATTAAAGGTGTGGGCCAACACGCCCGGCATTATTTTTTAAAAGTTTTTAAATGTTTAATTTATTATTTTATGTGTCCGAGCTTATTGCCTGCGTGTAAGTGCATCCATGTTGTGTAATGCCCGCGGAGGTCAGAAGAGGGCCTTGGTCCCCTGGGTGGCTGTTGGCCGACTTGTGGACGCTGGGACTCGAACCGAGTCCTCTGCAAGAGCAGCCAGTGCTCTTCCGCTTAACTATCACCCTAGCACCCCTCTTTTTACTTTTTGAGACAAGCTCCTAAGTTGCTCAGGTTGGCCTTGAACTTGCGGTCCTCCTGCTTACACCTTCCGAGTGGCGGGAATGGCAGGCTTCCGCTGCCGCCCGCAGCCTCACAGGACTTGGAAGACTTCAGCGTACAAAGTCCGATTCCTCTCCGCCATCTTTGCACCGCCCCTTCCTTCTCAGTCAGAAGTTTCGCGCCAAAGCGTCCCGAACACAAAATGGAGCCCGGAAGAAGGCGGGGACATTACGTCATGAACGCGCTTTATCCAATCATCTTCAGCAGCCGTCCCAGAAGGCGGGACTCGGCAGGTCCAGCGCGGCCCAATCACCGGCCGCGGGGTCCGGGCGAACCAATGAGAGCGCAGAGACCGCGGCGGACGAACGCGGAGGCTGGATTTTCCCGCGAAAGTCGCCGGCGGCGGAGCGTGGAGGTCGGTGTGGTACGGCATTGAGTGGTGAGGGTCCACGGGGGGAGGCGGGTGGTCCCGCGTCTCGGGTGGTTTTCGGGCGTCACCGCAGCGCCCTGTCCCCGTCCAGGCGCAGTCATGTCCGGCTTCGACGACCCCGGCATTTTCTACAGCGACAGCTTCGGCGGCGACCCGGGCGCTGATGAGGGTCAGGCCCGCAAGTCGCAGCTGCAGAGACGCTTCAAGGAGTTCCTGCGGCAGTACCGGGTGGGCACCGACCGCACGGGCTTCACCTTCAAATACAGGTGAGGCAGCCCCCCGGGGCGCGGGCCTTTTTATGTATGTATGTGTGTATCTGTGTTCTTTCTTATAAATGCATCTCTTTAGTTCAGTTCTTTTTATTTATCCTCCCCCTCTCTCCCCCTCTCGCCTGCATGTAAGTGCACCTGTGCATGCAATGCTCACGGAGGCCAGAAGAGGGCCTCAGATCCCCTGGAACTGGAGTTATGCAGGATTGCTAGCCATTATGGGGGTGCTGGGATTCGAACCCCATTCTTCTGCAAGAACAACCAGTGCTTAGCCTGGAACTTTATTGCGGTCCAGTTTGCCTCTTAAGTGCTGGTGTGCGCTCCTGTGGTGGACTTGATTTTGTATATTGTATATGTAAGCGCACCTTAGAGTCAGTCACCTGTTGAATGGGCCACGGACAGTCCAGCCAGGGCCACTTGGATCCTTTGGTTCTTTTTTTTTTTTTTTAAATATTTTATTTATTTTTAATTTGTGTGTATGAGTGTTATGCCTGCATGTAGGTAAGTGCACCTGTGTCGTGCGCAATGCCACGGAGGACAGAAGAGGCTGTCAGATCCCCTGGAACTGGAGTTACAGACAATTGTTAGCTGCCGTGTGGGTGCTGGGGTTTGAACCCAGGTCTTCTGCAAGAACAGTCAGTATTCTTAACCACTGAGCTATCTCTCCAGCTCTGATCCATTGGTTCTTGACAGGTCTTGTGGCTGTTCATCTGTTTGTCACTGGCCTGCTGTGTAATGGCCTTGATTTGTGAATTCAGGTTTTGTATGGTATAATTAAGATTCCTTTTACATGCTTTTATTCTTGTATTTGCTGAGCATAGGCTGGGCATCAGGATGCTGGGCTATACAGTGGTGTTCCTAATCCCTTAGTACAGCCTGACACCTGGAATTCTTGTAGACTTTGACCTCTGAGACCTAAGATGGGGAACAGGAGTTTGCAGTCATTGCTAGGTGACTTCTGAGTGTCTCTCTCTGTGCCTCGGGCTCTTCATTAGAAAGATGAGTAAAAAAACCATTCATGCCTCCATTGATTTCAGTATTATTCCATTATTATTCCAGTGCTGCTGGCGTTGGCCAGAATGTGCCAGGCACTAGGCCGGGCTTTGAGAAGCAAACATGAAAAGACAAGCTTCTTGGCCTTAAGAAGCTCATAGGCCAGGAGGATGAGTCATGGAGAATGACAGTAAATCCCAAGTGCTAATTGCTTCAGTGGAGGTATTTTTGAGGGAGTTGGAGCTTTCAGAGAGCGGGTGTTTAGGTGACTTGATTTGAGGGGACTGTGGAGGTGGAGGGCATTCTATTCTAGGCAGAGCAGTTGCTGGCAGAGGTATGGAGAATGTTCTTATAATGAGAGTTCTCAGACCAGACTGCGCATTTCTTTGGCTCCGGGACACAGGACATAGGACATGGGGCCTGTGATACTGTGAGGCTTGGGAGTCGATTGTGCAGACAGAGGTCAGTGGTCCCCAGATAGGTTCTTGGGACACGAGCCCATGGATGCTCTGTACAATCTTCCTGGTGTTTTGCAGGACAGATGTGTACGCTGCTTCAGAGGCTCTACTTTGAGGCATGTGCCATTAATCTCCAAGAGTGTGTGACGTGTCTTGTAGTGTAAAAAACCCTAGTGTCTTTGCTCCATTTTTCTCACAGACTCCTTCCATGGCGTTCTCTTAGTCCCTCTCAGGACTGAATGATGGAATGACCTAGAATTAGGTGTGCTTTGAAGAAGTGCTTTGAAGGGCAGTGGTGTCTGTGGAGGTGGATGCCAGGGTGTATATGCACTGCTGCTAATCTTCCCTCCTCCCTGCACTCTTCCTGCGCCGTGTTTCCCACACCAGGGATGAACTGAAGCGGCATTACAACCTGGGAGAGTACTGGATTGAGGTGGAGATGGAGGACCTGGCTAGCTTTGATGAGGACCTGGCTGACCACTTGTATAAGCAGCCAGCTGAGCATCTGCAGCTGGTGAGTAGGACCGATCCTGGAATTCCCTGAAGTCTCTGGCCTGCCTGATCACCAACAGCTTATGCCTGTCCTCTTCTCCAGCTTGAGGAAGCTGCCAAGGAGGTAGCTGATGAGGTGACCCGGCCCCGCCCTGCTGGTGATGAGCTGCTCCAGGATGTCCAGGTCATGCTTAAGTCAGATGCCAGCCCATCCAGCATTCGGAGTCTGAAGGTGGGTCCACTGAGAGGCAGTCAGGGCGGCATGGCTGCTGTGTGGTACAGAGGGCATTTGAGGTGGGCAGCATGGGGCATCACATATGTGACCCAGAGTAAGTCACTCGCCCTAAGCCTGCTTCCTCCTGCAAAAAATTAGTCCACTGGATGTATGTTCTCCAGGGAAGCAGAGTTGAGTCTTAAGAAAAACAACAGTCCAGCGGGGAGACTGAAAAACTAGTAAACGCCACTCATAACTTTAGACAGTGGAAAGCAGTCACGAGAGTGAAAATGTGGGGGTCTTTATAGGAAAGATGGAGATGCTGCTTTGATGAGGTGATGTGGAGATAGGGCAGCATGTAAATAGTGGGAAGCGGGCCAGCTAGGGCTACAGGGAGATCTTGTCTTAAACACCGCCCCTTCTCAAAAAAAAAGCACAGTACGTATGGCTGTGCTTGGTGAGTTCTGTAATAATGTCCATATGTTACTCATTTACTTAGTGTCACCTGCCCCATGTGCACTATACCCAGAATGCTCCTTTTGGAGTCCCTGTTGAGTTACCCTTGGTTAGCATGACAGGACGTTTTCAGAAACAGGGCTCTGAGTCCTCTATCTAGGCTCTGGAGTGTGTTGGCTTCCTAAAGGGCTCATAGTTTGGTACCAAACTGCTTCTGCTTGTGGTGGTGTGACTTGAGCAGGAACTCATTGGAGAGACAGGCTTCAGCTTGTCTCAGGGACAAGGCTCCAGCTCTCATACTCACTGGGAAATGTAATGCAAAGCCTGTTTGCAGTGAGCACTGGACCCTCCTCTAGAAGGATCATCTGTTAGGGATGACTGAGATGCTGTCTGACCCTTCTGCTCTTCTGTGGTGCTGGAGGGCCAGGATACCTTCCCCCTTTTAGGTCATTTTTCAAAAACCTTGCCGTATGGGTATTTGAAGGGTTCTAGTGTTCGGACTGGCCATTTTATGGTATTATCCTTGTTTCCAGAGGTGGCCAGCCTCAGTCCTGTGTTTCTCCACCTCCTCTCCTGACTCCAGTCTTTGGAGTCTCTCTATCCCAAAAAAACTCTATCCCAGAAAAGCTCCTTGGAACATGAAGAAAAGATGATGAAAGGAATTTTTCTTGTTTTTTGTTTTTAGTATTATTATTATTGTTATTAATTTTTTTTGGTCTTTTTAAGACAGGGTCTCCCTGTATCCCCAGCTGACCTGGATGGAACTCACTATGTAGACCAGTCTGGCCTCGAACTCACAGAGACCTGCCTGCCTCTGCCTCCCAAGTGCTGGGATTAAAGGCGTGTGCCACCACGCCCGGCTTGTATTTATTATTTTTATTTTATGTGTATGAGTGTTTTGATTGCATGTATGTTAAGTGTACCAAGTAGGTGCCAGAAAACAGTGTTGGATCCCCTGGAACTGGAGTTATGGACAGTTGTTAGTCATCATATGGGTACTGGAAACTGAACCTGGGTCCTCTGCAAGAGCAGCCAGTGAGTGAGCCACCTCTCCAGCCTCTTTCTATTTTGCAGTTTATTTTTGGTCTTTTTGAGACAGGGTCTCCCTGTAGCCCCAGCTGGCCTGGAACTCACTATGTAGATCAGGCTGGCCAAGATCCCTCTGCCTCTGCTTCCTGAGTGCTGGGACTAAAAGGTGTGTGCTACCGTGCCCAGCTTTCTATTTTGCTTTTTTTTTTCTTTTTGAGACAGGGTCTCCTTGTAGCCCCAGCTGTCCTGGAACTCTATGTCCTCGAACTCACAAAGATCTGCCAGCCTCCCAAGTGCTGGGATTAAAGGCATGCGCCACCACACCCAGCCATTCTATTTTGCTTTTTTTAATGAAAAACTTGACGTGTCACATAAGGTAGAAGTATAAAGTATAATAGCCCCATATTCCCTCACTGGGATTTAGATGAGGAAAAGTATCGAAAGTGTGACTAACTGGCCTGCCAGAAGTGAATACATGTTACCTGTCAGACTGTTAAAACAATAGACCCCAAGAATTGAAATTTCCCCAGGAATCTCATGCTGGGAAAAGAAAATCCTGGGCCAGGTAGAGTGGAAAGTTCTGTCTCTTCTGAAACTCTTCTGTCCAGGATGGGGATTTACAACCTTACGGAGGCAGTGATGGGTCATTGGTGGGTGGGACCACACCTTGACCAGGACTGCTTAGATATGGAAATTCTTGGCCCTCTATTTAAACTGTTACCTCACTGTGAGACCCTGAAGACAGACTGGGTGTGGTGGCACACACCTTTAATCCCAGAATTTGGGAGGCAGAGGCAAGTGGATCTTTGATCTTTGTGAGTTCAAGACCAGCCTGGTCTATGAAGTGAGTTCAGGCCAGCTGGGGCTACAGGGAGACCCTGTCTCAAAAAGACCAAAAAAAAAAGACCCTGAAGATAGACTAGAGGGAGGTAGTAGATCTCTTTGTCCCTCTTCCCACTGTGGCCACATTGAATAGAAATCCTTTTTCTGTTTTGTTTTTGTTTTTTGGTCTTTTTGAGATAGGGTCTCCTTGTAGTCCCAGCTGTCCTGGAACTCACTATGTAAACCAGGCTGGCCTTGAACTCAGAGATCTGCCTGCCTCTGCCTCCCTAATGCTGGGATTAAAGGCATGCGCCACCAGGCCTGGCTGGTTTTTCTGTTTTTTTTTTTTTTTTAAAACTGTTAATTTGGCTGGTTTAATTGGTTTCTTGAGGATGAGTAGTACTCATCCTGGCTTCCTGGAGTACAGGCTGTGACCCCAAGTTTGGTAGCATGACATTACATTTAACAGTTAGTGTTGCTTAGCATCTAATGAGTTGTAGTCATTAATGTGGGGCCTCTGGGGATAACAGAAGGTCTGTAGCACCTGGTGATAAAACTTGAACTAGAACCTGGTACCTGCCTCAGGTCAGTTCTTTGGTACTGCATAGGTCTGGGGATGTTACTGTCAGAGCTGGAGTTTGGGTCTCCTGGCACTTTGTAGTGAAATGTGTTTCCTCTGTATCTACCTAGCCCCCTGCAATTGTGCTTGCAAGTGGGGGTTGTGCCTGAGTCTCCTGAATGCCATGGCTAGGTAGCCTGGCCTTAGGTGGGCTCTCTGGAAAATTTGAGCTGAATTATGAGCGATGGCATTGTCACCCTCTCCAAACCTTGCTCATGTCACTCCCCAGCACCTTCCCTTGTTCCCTGGGTCTCCTTAACCAAATCTCCCTGTGGCTCTCCTTCAGTCAGACATGATGTCACACCTGGTAAAGATCCCGGGCATTATCATTGCTGCCTCTGCGGTTCGTGCCAAGGCCACCCGCATCTCCATCCAGTGCCGCAGCTGCCGTAACACCCTTACCAACATTGCCATGCGCCCTGGTCTGGAGGGCTATGCCCTGCCCAGGAAGTGCAACACGTGAGTATAGCCAAGTTGGGCTTTGGGGAGGTGCCTTGAGATCTAGAAAACTGGCAGTTGGGGCTGGATAGATGGTTCAGTGGTTAAGAGCACCCACATGGTGACTAGCTCCAGTTCCAGGCATATGACATCCTCTTCTGGCCTCTGAGGGCATTGCATGACACAGGGCACTAACATACATGCAGGCAAACTACTCAAACACATTAAGAAGATAAAGCCCCAAACTGAGAAGCATGCCAAATACAGCCTGCAGCTGCTTGTTAGACACCCTTGGGAAGGACCAGACAGCACTATACCCTTGGGATGGGCAAGGGCTGTGAACCCTAGCACCGTGTCCCGCCACATGAATGTACTCTTTCTCCACCTGGATGCCCAGACAGTCTTCAGAGAACCCAGGCTATAGAGGAAGTGGTCCAGGGGATTGAATCTATCTGGAATCTTCTAAAGCAAACTGCCTTGCTGTGCTAGATCCAGTGTGCTATCTATACTGCCTAAGACCATGGTTATATCTCTTTATTTAGCATATTGCTGGTGACTACAGAGGCAGAATGTGTGACCTCAGCTAGCTGTGACCTCAGCTAGTGGAGCCTAAAATAGGTACAGGCTGATAATAGGAAGTGTTTGCCCACCCTGACCTAGTGGACTCTGGGCTCTCATCTGGCTGCTTTTGGCTTTCTCTTCTAATTTCTTGTCAGCTTCCACACTGCCTGAGGCAGGCCTGCCTTGTTCTGTGCTGTAGCCCTTCCTTATCTGCAGCACATAGTAGCTCCTTCCTGTCTTCATGTCCACGTCACCTTCCTCAGTCTGTCCCCCACCCAGAGCAGGGGCCTGGCGTCTGCACAGTCTGCCTTGGTTCCTGCAGGCCCCGCCATACCACCTCCATCCTGTTCCTGTACTACACTGAGCTCAGCCCAGCCTGGGGTCCTGTGCACTTCCCTCAGGCACCCAGTGTACCCACCTCTCCTTCAAGCTCCTTACATGTCCCCTGGCCACAGGTGCCTTCCTCACTCTCCGTCTTCCATTTGGCACCTGCATAGCTGCTCACACTCACCTGCCTATTTTTACTACCTGCCATTATGTTATACAAATATTTTTCAATCCTGATAAGAACTTAGCTCCACAAGGACTTTTGGTTCACTGCTGTGTCCCCTCACCTATATTTATCTTTTTAAAAATATTTATTATTTTTGCCGGGCGTGGTGGTGCACGCCTTTAATCCCAGCACTCCAGAGGCAGAGGATCTCTGAGTTCAAGGCCAGCCTGGTCTACATAGTGAGTTCCAGGACAGCTGGTGCTAGTGCTATAGGGAGACCTTGTCTCAAAAAAAACACCATATATATATATTTACTTATTTATTATTTTTATTTTTGTGTATGTGAATATATGGCTTGCATGTATGTAAGTGCACCTGTGTCGTGCGGTGCTCATGGAGGTCAGAAGAGGGCATCAGATCCCCTGGAACTGGAGCTACAGATGGTTGTTAGCCACCATGTGGGTGCTGGGAATCGAACTCAGGTCCTCTGTAAGAACAGCCAGTGCTCTTAACTGCTGAGCCATCTCTCCAGCCCTACCTCATCTGTAGTTGTTGAATACATTCAGAGTGCTGCACCCTCAAAATGGTTTCGAGGAGCAAGGCTTCCTTCACTTGGGACACTAAGGCCCGTGAGGGAACTGTGAGTGTGAGTGCCACCTCAGCGTGATACAGAGAAGCCAAGACTCCCACACTTCTGGCTTTGGATTTGGCCTTTTCCCAAGCTTACCCTGACTCTTCCATAAAATATTACAGCTGCATCTTGAGACAGACTCCCTATATGGGCAAACCCTACCTTTGGATTCTGGTAGCTCTGGTGACCCCTTCCTTCTCTGCCCAGGGATCAGGCTGGACGCCCCAAGTGCCCATTGGACCCGTACTTTATCATGCCTGACAAGTGCAAGTGTGTGGACTTCCAGACCCTGAAACTGCAGGAACTGCCTGATGCAGTGCCTCATGGTGAGATGCCCAGGCACATGCAGCTCTACTGTGACAGGTGAGGTGACAGGGGCTTTGGAGGGGCCTCCACAAAGGTGGTGTCCTGGCCACTCAGGTGCAGCATAGAGATCATCAGGAACATGGTGGACAGGGTGGAGCCCTTACTCTCTGCCTGGTGCTTCTCCTTGGCTTCCTCATCTCTGGTCTCCTATAGTCTGCAAGGCTTATCTGCCCCCATTCTGTAACTGAATAGAGCTCAGATGGTTTTGTGATGGAGCTGAGTCTTGATCCTGTGTGGAGGCCTGTGCCCTTCCAGAAGGCATCTCTCAGTGCTCTTAGGACTGCAGGCACAGCACAGAGCTGGCTAACCAGCAGTGGTGCTAGCCCCTGTCTGGCCTCCTACTCTACTCAGGCTTCTTGTTAAGAATCTGCCTGTGGGTTTTGTTGAGTAGTAGAATGACCTGGGGTGAAGGCTTAGAGACCCTAGAATTTTTGCCTTGGGCTTACACACATGAGATAAGTTTTCTGAAGAATGATAGAGCCACAGCTGTTAGCTTTGTGAGTGACAAGAGAGTGCAGATTCAGGTTCTGGGAAAGTTATATGCCAAGCCTCAATTTTCTCATCAGTACAATACAATGGTCAAGACTACCTCAGGCTGCCTGAAAGTACATATCAAGAGTTTAGCATAATTCCTTAATATAAATTGAACACTGAGTGTTAGAGTAGTCTCTAAGTATCTAAAAGACTTGAGAATTGGGGTATGGAATAAGTGGGTGGAGGTGTCTCCTAGGACAGTATTGATGACAGGAATAGTCCCTGATGGAACCAGGGACTTGATGATGTATAGGTGTGTAGAACACCTTTATGTTTGTTACTTCGCTTGATTCCACAATAGTTGAAGTAAGTTAGTTTATCATCTTCACAAGCTCAGAGAGGCACAACTCAAGAGTCAGTTCTCTGAGTTGACACATTTATTCTATACCACGCTGGTTCTGCGGAAACAGGGACTTCAATCACTTAACATCTTTTGTCATTGTTTGCAACAGAATCTCATTGTATAGCCCTGGCTGGCCTGGAACTTGATGTGTAGACCAGGCTGGCCTCGAACTCACAGGGCTCTGCCTCCTGAGTGTTGGGATTAAAGGCATGTACCACCACACTTAACTTTAACATCTTATTTTTGAAAGGTAATTAAAAGCCAGTGGCAAGTTGTCATGACTGAGCTCAGGGAGTATAGCAGAGGCAGAAATGGAGAGTAGTCTTTGCAAGGAGGTTGTCAGGGTATGAGGAAGACACTTCCCCTGAGGTGCTAAAAGGAACCACCCTTTGAGTCTGGCCATAGATAAGATAGAGATGGCTTGAGCCTCCCCTCCACCATAACACCTGACCTCCTGAACTCAGTGAGGATCATCCCATCATGCACTAATAACAGCCATCTAGAAGGCGGTGGGACGGAGGGCAGTAGTGGTGAGGGAAGGTCCTCTCTGGGCCCTGTGGAAATAGGGCCCTCTTGGGGGATGGGGGCACACTGTCTCCCCTAGTTTTTTCTCATTTGCTTTTTTCCTCCCCTGTGTGTGTCTTAGGTACCTGTGTGACAAGGTTGTTCCTGGGAACAGGGTCACCATCATGGGCATCTACTCCATCAAGAAGTTTGGCCTGAACTCCAGCAAGGGCCGGGACAGGGTGGGTGTGGGCATCCGGAGTTCCTACATCCGGGTCCTGGGCATCCAGGTGGACACAGATGGCTCTGGTGAGTTGGCTTTGGGGTCCTGCTGAAAGGTGGAGCTTACTAACTTCCCTTAACAGGCAGCTTAAGAAGTTACCCAGGCATCCTTGAATTGATAAAACCATTAGAATGTGCTTTTCTTTCTTTTTTTGGTGGTAAGGATCAAACCCAGAGCCTGTGCATTCCAGGCAAGCACTCTACCATTGAGCTACCATTGAACAGTCCAAGGATGCTCACTTTTAGAGTGAACAACAATTTGTTGCCCTAAAATGTCCACCTATTTATTTATTGGCCCTAGTTGTGACTCCTGTTCTGAGGTTGTTGCCTAAATGCATAAGGCTACAGGACCTGGTGCAGTAGATGCATTTGTGGGTATGCTGTGCTACATCTCAGTAGCTGGAGAAGGAATAGAAGTGGCTGCAGGGTGGTGGGCAGTCAGGGTCTAGTTGGAGAAATAGCCCCTGAGGATAGGTCTCTAGGGAGGTGTCTGATGCTGAGCTGTTTGATTCCAGTGAGGTTTTAAAGGCTGTCAGGAGGAAAAGGGAGCAGCAGGCTTTGTGTGAAGGCTGGAGGCAAGAGCTCTTGCTTATATACTCAAGGGCAGTGGACATTCCTTTGAGGGTTGTTCCCTAGCCTCTGAACTGGTTTAGAGGGGTGTGGCCCTCAGGACTATGTCCATGCTCCATTAGGAACTCCCTGGATAGTTAAAGCTGGAAAAGCTGCCCACCCATCTAGCCTGACTTCTGTTCCAGACGTCTATACCTGACTGTTGCCTTGCCATCTCAGACTTAATGCAGCTATGGCAGAGCACCTATATTTCCCGTTCTCTGCACTGGCTCATCGGCCTTCCCTCCTTCCATTTGGTTCCTCAACAGACCCTCAGGTCCTCTTTAGTTCCTTGTCTTTTTTTTTCTTTGTCTTTTTTTGGGTCTTTTTGAGATAGGGTCTTCGTCTTCCTACAGCCCTAGCTGGTCCAGAACTTACTTTGTAGACCGGGCTGGCCTTGAATTCACAGAGATCCTCCTGCCTTTGCCTTCCAAGTGCTGGGACTAAAGGTGTATGCCACCATGCCCGGCTCTAGTTTCCTTGTTTTTCATCCCTCTACTTCATCTACTAGCAGTTGGCTGTTCTACCTTTGTGCCCAGGATTGGCAGCTTTTTCTCACTATACCAGTCTGAGCCCTGCCCTTTCTCCTAGGTCGACCCCCAAGCCCTCCAGTTTCCCTGAGTCTTCGTGGTCCCTACCTTCTCCATTCCTCAGCAGCTGTAGTGAACCATGCTGTTGTGCCAAAAAATTCAGTGGCTTTCCTTCCTCTCGGCATTGTGGGAGGCTTACCAGTGGTCCCCAGAGCCCATGTGATCTGGCCCTCTGATGCCTTGGAATCTCCTCTCCCTCACCTAACCAGTCTTGAGATTTGAGGAGTTGGGATGACCTGTGCCCTGGTTTTCCTGAGTGAGACTGCTGTCCTGATGCTGAGAGTCCTGCCTCTGGAAGATCCCTGAGCTGGGACTAGCTTAGCAACTGGCCAGAGGCACTTCTTCACTCATGCACTTTCACTGTTCTCCCAGGCCGCAGCTTTGCTGGGTCTGTGAGCCCACAGGAGGAGGAAGAATTCCGTCGCCTGGCTGCCCTCCCCAACATCTATGACCTTATCTCCAAGAGCATTGCCCCCTCCATCTTTGGGGGCATGGACATGAAGAAGGCTATTGCCTGCCTGCTCTTTGGGGGCTCCCGGAAGAGGTAAGGAGCCTGAGGAGTAGGGGGCTGATAACAAAACCACAGGAGGACAGCTACTGGGTGATTAGGACCCAGTGTTCTTCCTTGTCTCCCAGGCTCCTCACTCAGCCTGCTGGCATTGGCAAGGCCTGGGCTAGGAGATCTGGCAATGACAGTGGGAAAGTATTAGATTGGGCTTAGCGTTCTGGGACCAAGATTTGAGTTCTGCTTTGCACATTGTGACCTTGGCTAAGCAACACTACCTCTTTGAATGCAAGCGTCTAAGCATAAATGAGATGTGTGAAAGACTTGACACTTAAAAAGGTGAAAAGGTGTCGTGTGTGTTTGGTTTGCTTTTATTCTTTCTTGAGACAGGTTCTCACTATGTTGTTAGTCTGTCCTTGAACTCACTATCCTAAGTCAGCCTCCCAGATTCTAGGATTATAAGTGTGTACCACCATGGCTGGCTTCATGTGTCCTAAAGTAACAGGAGTACAGACAGCAGCAATGACAAGTGTGCTAGTGGCCCCATGTAGCATATTCTCTCTGTAGCCCCAGCTGTCCTGGAACTCACTATGTAGACCAGGCTGGCCTTGAACTCACAGAGATCTGCCTGCCTCTGCCTCCTGAGTGCGCCACCACGCCCAGCTTTATCATATTTCTATACTCACAGCAGTCTTCTAAGTGCTTATGTGTCTGGAACCCAGTCTGTCCTCTTAGCATCCTGTGAGGATGATGCTTTTGTATTCATTTCATAGATGAGGAAGGAAACTGGAGTGGAGAGAATGAAAGAACTTGTTCCAGGAACAGGGTGGGGTTGGATCTAACCCTCAGCCTGAGGTTACCTCAGGCTCTGCAGTGTGCACAGTGTGTTGGGTTGCCTGAGGCCAGTCCTCAGTGCCACTTGACCTCCATTGTTGAGCTAGGGATTGCAGAGCTACGTGTGAGCATGCACTGGGCTAGAGCCTGTTTTTCCTATCTGCCCTGAGACTTAGGGGAGAGTGGCTGACAACCTGCCATGCAGTGATTAGTCTATGTCTCAGCCCTCAAGTCAATTCTTACCCTTTCTACCTGCCTGTCCTCCCCAGGCTCCCTGATGGACTCACTCGCCGAGGTGACATCAACCTGCTGATGCTGGGGGACCCTGGCACAGCCAAGTCCCAGCTTCTGAAGTTTGTGGAGAAATGCTCTCCCATTGGGGTGAGTGGCTGTGGTGAATTTTCTCCCTGGGTTTGCTGTCCGATAGGGAAGAGGGCTGCAGGTCAGGGTTGCTTGGTCACTGGGACATCCATGGGGTCTGGCTCACCCAGAACCTCTTCCTTATTCCTCTTGGTTGTGGTCAGGATGGCAGAGGGGCTGTGAGAAGGATGAGACCAACAGGTGTATGTAGGTTGGGGCTGGGCAGCGAGAACACTGCATTGAGAATCAGGCCTGGTTTGCTTTTCAGCCTGGTAGTAGTCGCCTATGGACTTTGAGCAGCAGGTAACCTGGACTCCCTGAGCTCAGCTTATCCACTTACTAAATGATAACACTGGTAGCGATACTAGCTAAGGTGAATTAGGGCCAGATGCTTCCTGAATTGCTTGCCTAGTATTTGCTCCTTTAACCCTCTGTTTGTGGGTTCTGTCACCTATGTTGTTGTGCATTGGAGGCAGGGACTGAGCAGTGAAGTCTCTCCCTCTAAGGTCCCCCTGATGGGGAGATCTAGGATAAGGCTTATGCCATGGTGTCTAATGACTCAGGCCTCTTGGGCCTGAGAAGATCAGAGTAGGGGAGGATGTGACAGTTGGCCAGTGGGCTGTGCAGTGGGAAGTAGGAGTTGTGGATAGAGGTGTGCCAAGTTACTCATGTCATCACTGTCCCATAGAAATTCTGTGGCCTGCAAATGCAAGCCACATCATGTTAAACCTTTTAGTAGCTACATTAAAAAATAAAAAGGTTGGGCTGGAGAGATGACTCAGCAGTTATGAGCACTGGTTGTTCTTGCAGAGGACCTGGGTTTGATTCCCAGCACCTACATGGCAGCTGACAACCACTTGTAACTCCAGTCATAGAGGAATGTGCCCTCTTCTGACCTCCATGTGCATTTTTCATGACATGCACTTACATGCAGGCAACACACTCATACACACAATAAAAAAGAATATTTTTTAAAAAGTTAGAAGAAACAGGTGAAATTAGCATAATGTTTAATTTGTATAATACAATTTGGGGGGGTGTTGGTGGAACCCAAAGTCTTGTATATGCTAGGCAAGTGCCTAGCTGTATTACCAGCTCTAATCTAAACTGTTAGTAGAATGCTTGGCATTCCTGTCAGCACAATCTGTGGTCCATGTGTATCTTTCGCTTACAGGCATCTCAGATAGGACTTCCACAAAGGGGTCTATAGAGCATGTAGCTTGTAGGTATTCATGGATAATGGACTCAGGGTAGAGCAGCCTAAGAGCTAGGAGTCCCCAGCCCTGCAGCCAGCTTGAAATACATCCTTTCTCTTCTCTTGGCCTCAGTGTTCATGTCACAGGGTTGTGCTGACTCAGCTGAGCCATATTTCCTCCAGGGAGAACTAGTCCAGGTTTGAGGCCCAGGGCAGCCTCTCCTTCCTTCCAGAGGAATGAGCCCTCACTTGGACCTTGGGTTCTGTGCTGTACAGCCAGCTTTTCAGTGTGGCTTGGGGAAGTCACAACCCTCTGGGCCTCTTGAATTTGGAGTAGGTGCATGAACGAGAGCTGGTGCTGGGTGCTGACTCCTCCCTTGCTTTTCCCAGGTATACACATCTGGGAAAGGCAGCAGTGCTGCTGGTCTGACTGCCTCAGTGATGCGGGACCCCTCATCCCGGAACTTCATCATGGAGGGTGGCGCCATGGTTCTGGCCGATGGTGGGGTTGTCTGTATCGACGAGTTTGACAAGGTGAGTCTGGGCCTCCTAGTCCCAGAACTGGGGTGTGTGGCCTCTACGACTGGAGTTAAGGTGTGGTGGCAGACATCACTTCTGAGAGACTTGTATGTAGTTATTGGGCCTGGTACTTTGGGATAACTTGGGATAGTTGCTCTACCTGAGTTACTATGGAAATTGAGGAGAATAAAAGCCATGCCCACATGGTCGTCTGCCATTGGCTGACCCAAAATCTGTACTAGGGAATGGCAGCGGCTCCTGGTTATTGTGCTGCCATTCTTCCCCTGCCTGGGGTGAAGGTTCTGATGTACATCTCTTTCCAATTCAGATGCGAGAAGATGACCGTGTAGCAATCCATGAAGCCATGGAGCAGCAGACCATCTCCATTGCCAAGGTGAGTGGCCCTCCCGAAGCCACCCTGCAGCAGTTCAGGCTGGTGGCCTTCCTCAGGCTGCTCCAATGAGTGCATTGAATCCTGTTTCCCAGGATTGTGCTGGCCAAAGCAGGCTTGGAGAAGGGGCACAAGGTAGAAACACTATGCCTGTGTCTATATAAATCTGTGTGTGCATGTATATGTATGCATTCATATGTGAGGAAGGGAAAGGCCAGTCCTAGGGTTCTTGGTTATCTCCTCCCTCTACTCTGTTTTCTCTTAGGCTGGGATCACTACTACCTTGAACTCTCGCTGCTCTGTTCTGGCTGCAGCCAACTCAGTGTTTGGCCGCTGGGATGAGACGAAAGGAGAGGACAACATTGACTTCATGCCCACCATCTTGTCCCGATTTGACATGATCTTCATTGTCAAGGATGAGCACAATGAGGAGAGGGACATGGTACGTCCAGGGAGTTGGGTTGGTGGCTCTAGGCAGTCTCATGATCCTAAGGGAGGATGAACAAGAGGCCTGGCCAGGGAAATGCTGATGGTCAGATAGGCCGTGAGTGGGAAGCCTGTGAAATGACTGTGTTAGGGACTTACAGGGTATTGGAGAAGAACCTGGCTGGCTCCTGTGACTCGGCCCTGCCTCTTCCTGGAGGGAGATGCTATGTGGTCTTGGAAGGAACACTGAGCTCCATCCCCAGCCCTGGCTAGTAAATTTCTGAAAGGAAATAGTTTAATATCTTATAGAATTTGGCAAGTCCCAAAGTTTAAGGCACAGGTGGATGTGGGTTGTTGGCTACCACTGCCTCTGCTTCCTTTGCTGGAGGCCTCACTCTCGGGCAGCTGCTCCCTTGCGATGGTAAGTATATGGCATGGCCAGGCTTGGTTATACAGGCCTGTAATCCTAGAGGAAGCTAAGGCAGGAGGATTGTAAGGTCAAGACTGGCAGGGGCAACTTAGAGGTTCTTATCTCAAAATAAGAAGTAGAGTAAAGGGGATTAGTTCAGTAGTAAAGTGCTTGCGTAGCACATTAGAGGTCCTGACTCCCCAGTACCAAAACAAAAAACGCTGCCTAATTAGCTGGTCATTTATTTGGAGGAGGAAGCCTTTTCCAGTACCAGTTTAAGTCCCAGAATGGACTCTTCATTGGCTTGGGTATCTCCAGTGTCCATCTTTAAGTAGACATCTGTTCCAGGTATGGGTAGACAGGCTGGGACTGGGGCAAAGGCTGTGTGGGAGGGGCTGAGGCCAGCCAGCAGGAGTTGGTTGAGGTCTCAGTGCCCTTTCTGCTTGGTTGCCAGCAACCCGTCAGCTGTTTCTGTCTGCTCGACCCGGTGGTCCAGGCTTTGCCTGTGGGCTGACCCAGTGTCCCCTCTGCTCCTTAGATGCTGGCCAAACATGTGATCACTCTGCATGTGAGTGCACTGACACAGACACAGACTGTGGAGGGCGAGATCGACCTGGCCAAACTGAAGAAGTTCATTGCCTACTGCCGAGCGTGAGCGCTAAGTGAAAGCCCTGTGGGGTGATGTCTTTGGCTTTATTGGGGTGGGAGAGAGCCCAGTCCCTGTCCTGCTCCTTACCTAGGATGCCCTGGAGGCCCAGTCCCTGTCCTGCTCCTCACCTAGGATGCCCTGGAGGCCATTCTGAGCTTGAGTATGGCATTTGTTCTATTCTCAACTGCCAATTGTGATGCTGCCTCAGTTTCCCCATCTCCAGGAGGGGATGGGTTTAAGTTTATGTGCAGGGAGGTCATTGTAGATATGAGCTCTGGCTCCTGCCCACTACCCCACTGTGTGACTTGGGCAAGTTGCTTAAACTCCTGAGCCTCAGTTTCCAAGGTTGATGTTTTGTAAGGACTACACAAGATGATAAGGAGGTGCTTGGCACCTCTCTGTGCCATGTTAGCACTCTGGGTTTTTTGTATGTAAATGAACTGGAACTCTTCTAAAACCTAAGAAATGGAAATGTTGTGGTGCATCTAAGGCCACAAGTGAGAAGTACTGGGGCCAGGTACCTACTCCAGAGCTGTGCTCACATCCTCGGGTGTCTTTGTCATGGTTCTGAGCTCTGAGTCCTCAGAGGCTTGGCCCATGGGTATGAGTCAGGGAGCCCTGGACAGCTTTGGGGGGCAACTTCTCTCTGGGTCTCAGTTTCTTCATCTTCTGAGCTCTCTTAAATCAGGGAGATGGAGGATCAGGAAGAAGGGGATGGAGACGGCTGCTAAGCAGACCTCCCTGTGCTGTCCTCCTGGGGTGTATAACCTGCTCCCCAGCCCATGGACCGCAGTCACTGCTCAGCTTCTTGGGGTGTCATTGTGCTTCAGGCACACAGATGTGTTGGGGTGGAGAAGCTGGAGGCTGCTGAAAAGGCTGCTCCCTGGAGGGCCTCCTGCTGCATCGGGGCCACCAGTGACTGGTGGAGGTGTATCCCCCTGGTGGCCAGATGCCACAGTACAGCCAGCAGCAAGAGTGGTTTTTGTCGCCTGGCCTATTACCACCTGTTTTCTCACAGAGGTATCTTGTTTTTACCTGTATAGATAGATCTCTGACACCTACCTACAGCCAGCCAGGTTACATGTAAATCCCTTTCAAATGATGTGCCAGCCATGTGAGCAGGCAGCTGTGGTGTGGTAGGAACACACGTCTGCAAGGCTGGCAGAGGGCTGGGGACAAGGTGGACATTTCTGGCCCCAGTCTACTCACTTTTTACCCTGCAGGAGATGTGGCCCTCGGCTGTCGGCAGAGGCGGCAGAGAAGCTGAAGAACCGCTATATCATCATGCGGAGTGGAGCACGTCAGCACGAGAGGGACAGTGACCGCCGCTCCAGCATCCCCATCACTGTGCGGTGAGTAGATGGGCCTCACCTCAGAGCAGGGCCAGTTAGCCACTACCAGCCACACACAGCACAGGCTCAGGGCAAATCTGGGTAAGGGGACCCTCTGGGACAGGGTGCCTCCTGATTATCTCCCTGTCTCGGTATATTTGAGGCTGGGAGCACTTGGGCCTCTCACTGCTGAATTTAGTCTGGCTTCCCTCAACTGAGAGGTAGCCTTAGGTGATGTAGGCACCATGCCTGGGAGTCAAGGCCTTAGGTCCCAACCTTTGGCCCACTGTGTAACTGCAGGGAAATTTATCTTCACTAAGTCTTATTTTTCTGAGTTTTTACCTTTTAGTGTTGTGAGTTTGTAGACAGTATAGTAAGAGCTGAGACCTACCTGACTTGTATCCTGCCTCCAGTGCTGATGAGTTAGAAGCAGATTTGGCTGTGTATAATGGAAAACCCAAATAGAGTAGCTTAAGGGGAAGTTTATGTCCAATGTTACATATCAGGGAGCAGGTGTGGAGTTTCCCTGACTCCATTAGACCTAGTCCCTCTGCTCCATATGGCTCGAGGGGTTCCAGCCATCACTGCCACATTCTAGGCAGCAGGAGAGACAGGAGGACACGCTTTCCTAAGGACTATTCTAAGGACATTCCCGAATGATGCTCAGATTTAGAGCTCATTGGCCACATCTTGGTCACATAGATACCTTGTTGCCAAAGAGGCAGAAAATGTCCTTGAGCAGGCAGCATGTGCTGGAATAAAAATTGGGTTCCAGTATTAAGATAAGGAGTATTGGATTACGCAGATAGTCAGCAGTGTCCCGCATAGTCCTACCTACCTTGGACATGCCCTTTCTGGGAGGACAGGAAAGGAGAGTGGGCTAAGGCCTCTGAGTATTCCCATTGCTCCAACAGGCAGCTGGAAGCCATTGTGCGCATTGCTGAGGCCCTCAGCAAGATGAAACTGCAGCCCTTTGCCACTGAGGCAGATGTGGAGGAGGCCTTGAGGCTCTTCCAGGTGTCCACACTGGATGCTGCTTTGTCTGGCACTCTGTCAGGTGAGCAAGAGCTACCTTGTCTTTGTGACACAGGACAGGGATTTGGCCAGTTGGAGGCCTGTGGAGTGCTGCCTTGGTGTGTTTTTGACAAAGCTCTTTCCCCACTTCTCCCCTGGCTCTTTTTCCCCAAGGTGAGGAAGCAGCTTCTCTTTAGACCCTTGGCCCACTATCCCTTTAAGCCAATTCATTAAAAATAATGGTGAGCCTGTCAGTGCCGCAGTCAGCCTTCCTGTGCTGCGATCAGAACTGTGGCAGACCTCATTTTCCTTGACAGCATCACCTGGGACTTGAGGCTGTCAATCCTTCCCATCCTGGAGATGAGACTGAACAGTACTGTTTCCATGGTGCCCATGGTCCTCAGTCTTAGTGGAACACAGGCTTCAGTCCCTGAACCCTAAGACCCTTTGCCTGCTTCATGTCAGACAAAAGCCTCCTGAGACTGGTTATGTGCTGGCTTTTTCCAGGGTAGATCCACGCTTACCTGATAGGTGATTCTGGCTTACCATTTGCCAGTCACTGTCTAGGTGTCAGAAGTATATGCAAACAGGTTGCAAGGTCCCTGTCCTACTGCCCCATAGGCTCTTTTCTTCCTTGCTTAGGATACAGCGAAAAGTCAGTGAAAGGGGCCTGGAGGGTGGGGTGACAACAGGACCAAGTGTGTTGGAGTGATGCTGTTTCCCATTGGTTGAAGATCATAAATCCCTGCTTGCCCAGGGCTTCTCAGGGCACCTTCCAGATTTGGTCTTCAGGGAACCCAGCCCAGCCCTTTGCCGGTTCTCCACCACCCTGTGATTATTACTCTTGCCACAGTGAATGTGACCCACACAGCCTCATGGCTCCTGGCTCTTAGCAACCATGATGGCTACGTCCCAGCTACCTGGACCTGGGAATCTTGTATGGGTCACGTGTCCCTCCCTCTGTCCTTTGCCTCTGCTATGCCTTCTGTCTGGAGCACTCTTCCCCACATTTGCCTGACCCTATCCCTTCCTCCATCAAGCCCTCACTGTCCCCTGGCACACTGTGTTCTATCTCTTAATTTTCTCTCTAGGGCCTAGCTCAGGCCACTCTTCTTTGTTTAGAGGCCACCATCTCCCAGGCCTCTAAGTATGGGTGAATGTGGTCCCCAGCGCCCCATCTTCTCTCATTTTGACTCACAGGGGTGGAAGGCTTCACCAGCCAGGAGGACCAGGAGATGCTGAGCCGTATTGAGAAACAGCTCAAGCGCCGCTTTGCCATTGGCTCCCAGGTGTCTGAGCACAGCATCATCCAGGACTTTACCAAGCAGGTAAGCCTTCCTGAATACCCGGCCTCATTAAGCGCCAGTCTGCTCACCTACAGAACAAGCCCAGTACCAGCTACTGCACTAAGTGCAAAATGCGTATACACAGGAAAGGGAACTGAAACCAGAAGCCGTGCTCTTAAAGTCCACAGGCTCATTCTGGTGCCAAAAAAGCCCATCTCAGCATAGGACCTGGGACCCCCTTCCCAATGAGCTACAAGGCTCTGACCATCCCCACTTCATAAGAAGCCAAACAGTGGGGGAAGGACTTAGAAGAGCTGGCAAAATCAGGCTATAGTTTCTCCAGAATGTGGCCTCCTCTTCCCTTTCCTTTTCATGGGATATAGATCTCTAGGGTTACAGGCACTTGAAGTCCCGACTCTTAATTGCTGTGTGACTTCAAGCAGGTGACAGACTCTGTGCTTGTTTCTTCCCCTGTAAAATGGGAATGCTCCCAGTCCTGGCCACTTGAATTGAGGAAATGGATATAGTCACTTGGTATACAGGCGATGTCGGAAACGTGAGCCTTTCTGAAGTCAAGGGGTAACGAAGGTGAAGAAAGTCTTGTATGAACCAGGGTTCCTTTGGGTCCTGGTGACACTCCTGCATCTGGCCTGTGCTCCCTCCCACAGAAGTACCCGGAGCATGCCATCCACAAGGTGCTGCAGCTCATGTTGCGCCGGGGCGAGGTCCAACACCGCATGCAGCGCAAAGTGCTCTACCGCCTCAAGTGAGCCCCTTGGCCTTCTGCCTGGAACAGCTTTGCTGCCACCCCCCACCCCCAGTGCTGTCCTGTACTCCACACTGCCACCACCGTGGAGGAGAACCTGCCTCACTGCCTGGCTCATGCCTCCAATGTATCCACGGCACCTGGAAATGTGTTGTTCCCATAAACTGTGTGTTTGGGTGTCTGAGGGCTCTGCTCTGGTGTCTCTTACTGCCCTGCTGCCTCAAGGTGGGTCTGGAGCAGGATGTGGCTCTGGAGGCAGACAGGGTTTCCACATTGGCTCCTGGCTGCTTGATTGTACACAGCTTCTTTGTGTTTTCAGAGGAAATAAAGCGAGTTCCTGGCTGCTGAGAGCAGCAGAGCCCGTGTGACAGTGCTCTCTGACATGTGCGGGCTGACTCACCTCAGCTGTCCCTGGCAGCACCTGATACAAGAGCCAGGGCGTTCACTGAGCCTGTCTGTGCCTCAGTTTTCCTACTGCAAACAAGGTTCACGTTGCTTCACAGAGTTGGGCTTGAGGTCAGCCAGTGAGCAGCTGTTGGTGAACACCCAAGCAGGCAGCAGTGCAGCAAGTTTCCAGTGCCGTTTGGGGAGGTCAGTTGCTGCTTAAAACAGAGTGGGCAAGATTAGGTGCTGGGACCCCGTGCTGTGTGCCCTTGGGAGAAGCACTGAGTTTTACCAGCAGAGGAGCGGGGAGGACCTGAGGCTGACACGGTGGGAAGCACTAGGGATGGCATTGTTAAGGGACAACACCCCAGCACTTGCATCCCTGTTTTTTATATTACAGAATGCCCCTGTGAGTGTTTGGTTTGTTTTCAGAAATCTAGAATTCACAAAATTAGGAAAAAGCCAATGAATAAAATGTTGGGTATTTAAAATACATTTTGAAATCTGAAGCCTCTAATGAAACACGAATGTAGAAATGCATTGCAACATTTTCAGTCGTTGGTTGGTGAGGTAAATTTGCCCTCTTAGAAAGGATACTCGGGAAGAACTTGAAGTGGACTCTTATCTTCAAACATGAACAAGCAGCTCTTTTGCAGGTGCATTTCTGTGCAGAGATCCCTGCTGCTTGATGTGCTTACTGCCGCACTGTTCCCGGAAGCAAGCTTGCTCTGACTCACTTTTGATCAGAGCCATTTCCTTTTTGATCAGTTGCTTGCTGTCTGGAAAGCAATCTTGGTGACTGTTGCATTGTGGGTTCTTGTGTCTAAGGTAGTAGCCTTTAGGGTTCTATGTCTCTCATCTTCACAATGGAGACTGGTTCAGTCGCTGCCCATCTTCTGACTAGTGCATGTGTATGTGTAGTGCAGCTGTACTTGGTAATGCTGGCAGCCCTTACCATTCATGGTTGGGGCCATTGGGGGTTACTTCTTGTCTTAGAGACAAATGTCACAGCAAGAGTGTGCAGTGTGTCTTCAATGTAAAGGCATGCCCCAAGTCTTCTACCACAGAAGGGGCTCCCTAGGCAGCCCCTGTGCCAGGCCTAAGTAGGATGCATGAACAACTTGGCCTGGGGGAGTGGAGGACACCCTGCATGGTCTCTGCCCCTCTGGGTATACGACAGCAGGTATAGTGCTAAGGTACTGAACCAGTGTGGTTTACATGGGGAGTGGTATCCCGGAGGAGTGAGAGTCCTACATAGGCAGTAACGTGAAAGACCAGGGCTAGAAAGCACCTGGGAGTTGGAGATTTGTTGATCCCTAAAAGGTGGCAGAACAGAAAAGGGGTCTGAACTGGATCCTTAATCCTGTAAGACCCTGGCCTGAGCTGGTATTACAGGTGTGGCCAAGGTGGTCTGAGGCTTCAGTTTTTCCCCTCATCTCTTGGGTAGGTCTTACCTTCCCAGGCTCCCACATGCATCTGTGAGATGAACAGCCTCAGGTGGCTGTGGGTTAGCCAGGGCACACATCAGCCCTGCCCCTGGCAGTGCAGAGAATGAACTGGTTTTCGTCACTTCCTTTGCCAATAACTTGAATTTCACCTATTCCTGCCTTGGCATACTTGGGTCTCCTGGCAGTCCCTGGTCATTTGCCCAAGGTATAGACGTTTCACAGTCCTTGGTTGGTCTTTCAGCTTAAATGGCACTGAGTCCTTTGTCATATGCACATGGGTGGCTTAGTAGGTAGAAATGGTATGAAAGAAGCAGGGTGGTATGGCCTGCTGCACCTTGGCCCTATGCTTCAGCCGCCATCACACATGACACCTTTCTGACCCAAACTATGTGAAACACAACTATTGGCTCATATATACCCAGTAGGGGCTGCTGGTTTACTGGTAGAAGTCTAAGAAGCTACTAGGAATTAGATGCAGAGTCATCGTGCTTGTCACTGTATTTACTCATTTATAGCCACCAAGATAGAAGTCTTGTGTGCACATATTTAAAGCCCAGTGTTAAAAGTGAAGAGTCAAGAGGCCAGACGTGGTAATTTACACCTATAATCCCAGCAGTTAGGAGATGGGGGCAGCAGGATCAGGAGTTTAAGATCATCTTCAGCTACGTAGTATTCAAGGCCGCATTGTGGGATACAAGAGACCCTGTCTCGGAAAAAACTACATTATACTAATATATTAATGGAAATGTGTTATTTTAGAGAAACATTTGTAAGTATCAATAATAACTGTAAGAAACAAAAATACTAAATTTCAGAAATGCGAAAGATGGGCTGGGAGTGTGGCTAAGTGGGAGCCTGCTTGCCTAGCTCTTGAGGCCCTGGGCTATTTCCCCAGCATCATACCATAGGGGAATGGGGATGATACAGAAGGTAAGCATTCCATGTCAGCACAGGGGAGTTTG